TCCTCAAGTGCTTGGGTTTTACCCTTAAGGCTGAATCCTTAGGCACTTGAGGTTCAGCCTTAAACTTTTGTCCTTGTTGGCTGACCATAAAAATACCCACTTTATTGCCATTTTTGGAAATAATTTACAAGATCATCACAAATTTATCCTAATTAAGAAATGATATTCGATTTTGAGAGCCAAAATTGAAATGTACCATCTCCTAAGATTGTTCGGGGTCCTATGGGAACACACATCCATGAGACCTTCTGTGAACAGTTAAATTTTTTCGTATTATGTGAGTTTTTGAGAAAAGAAAAGGAGAAAAAGGCGGAATTTCAGCCAACCAAATTTTTACGTAGTGCAAATTTACTATTTAGGATGTTGATCATTGCAATATTTGGTAATTCCAAATTTGGAGATTTACCTGACTGTATTACATACCAGTTCAAATATGATTGTCCGAGGTCCTGTCCCATAACTTTCTGCAATAAAAATTGTTTGGTCATGTGATATTTCCTGGTCATAACAGTCGCAATTGCCTATTTATTAAATTTAAATTTGAAATAAATGAATTTAGCTGTTTGTTGTATTTTTTTATTTTTATTTTTATTTTTTTTAACAACGTAATCTTGTTTTTACCATAAATGATATTCGTTTGGAGCACTTGGCGTCGTGTTTGTTGTATTTTTTTATATATATAAAGATTAAATTCATCTGGAAAATTCACGTGTCAAAAGATCTGCAACAAAATTAATTTTTTATTTACGTGTAACACGTCAATTTCAGGACTAAACGTAGTAAATTCGGTAAACTTGCGCAACTTCGAAGCTCAAATCCTTCACAACATGAAATCGTAACTTTGTAGAGGAAGGTCTTGGGCTTCAAAAACACAATTATTTTGGAGTTTTGCATTTCCCATTTTTGGAGGATTTTAAGAATGACCAATAAAAAGTTGCGGAACTAATTTGACTTGCACAATAATAATAATTAAAAAATTATAACAAGATAATGTCATTATAACGTCATTATTTAAAAAAAAATTTTAAATCAATTATCATCAAAAATTTTTTATCAATTACCATTAAAAATTTTTAAATCAATTATCATCAAAAAATTTTTTATCAATTACCATTAAAAATTTTTTTTAAAAAAAAAAATGGATAAAAGAACAAGAAAGTCAAGAGATATTAAAAAACTAAACACGTAAGTATTATTAAAACTGTTGTTTCGTTTAGTTCAAGCTCTAGTTATTATATATATATATTATTTTTTTTAAAAAAAAACTATAATGCCATTTAAATATTTATGAACTAAACTTTACTTTTATATACTTAGAATTTCTTCAAAAGAAGAAAAAGAGAAAGAAGAAAGAGAAAGAGAAAGAGAAAGAGAAAGAGAAAGAGAAAAAGATAAAAAAGAAAAAGGCGAGGATGATAGTAATAAAGACGATGGTGATGATGGCGATGGCGATGATGATAAAGGCGATGATGATAAAGGCGATGATGATAAAGACAATGGTGACGATAGTAGTGATGATGATGATGAAGATGAAGAAGAAGATGATGATGAAGAAGAAGATGATGATGAAGAAGAAGATAATGATGAAGACAACGACGACGATGAAGACGATGATGATGATGAAAAAGAAGAAGATGGTGATAAAGATGATGAAGAAGATGGAGATAGCGATGAAGAAGATGATGATGACGATGAAGAAGAAGGAGGAGAAGTTGAATTTACGATAAATTCGATAATACCAACAGACCCAATGCCATACATTATGAATGGCCATTTGACCTTCAGAAGTAGTGAGGTCAATTCCAGGGGACGTTTGACAAGAAGTGGTGTCTATAGAGTAAATAGACATTAAATACCACTTCTTGTCAAACATCCTCAGAATTGGCCTCACTACTTCTGAAGGATACATTGCTTTTAATAAAAAAAAAATTTTAATTATATAAATTCAAGCCAATCATTGTCCCTATCAAGAATGAGATGATTCCCGTTCCAGAAAATATTGTGAGGTATACGATCTATAAGATCTTTTACAATTGTTCCACTTTTGAGTATAAAGCGCATAATAATGATAATTAGCAAAAAATAATTAATGAATTAATTAACGTCTAACCTGGACAATTTGTCCGTTACAAATACGTGATTTTAACTTTTCTGTAATTCTATATGCCACAATCTGTTTCCCTCTCTTTCCGATCCAATTCCAAATACCATATCACTCCTCCATACCAATTCTTTGCTGTATAAAGAAATCATATCACTTCATGGATTCTTTAAGCAATAATTCTGTAGCTTATCAAATAAAACATCATTATTATCACTGGCAATTTGGGTTAAATTTTCTTGCATAATTCTTATATTTTAGAAGATTATTGATGGGATGAATATGTGGAGCAGCCAACTAACTAATTGCGCAGTTAATTATTCCACAATTTATTCCTCAAAATTATGACAGTGTTTATTTCAACAATTAATAAAAATTAATTTTGCCCAAAGTGTTTCGGCTATTAAGAGATATAACTTTAGTCTGTACAAATTACAAGTTTATTAAAAAGCTTCTTTTTAGAAGACATACAGTTGAAACCATGTCTGAAGGATTGAATGTTATGGCAGAAGAAGATCAAGTTTGATAAAACGAGGATCCAAACTCCAAACTATTCGTGGGCAGATAACCACTTATAAAAAGAAAAATGCTAAAATAATGTTATCAGAAGTTACTATTCCAACTGAAGGAAGTAGAAAATCGACATAAATAATTTTATATATAAATCATCAAAAAAAAAAACCTTTGAACGGTGACTGCTCGTCTACGTATTTTCTTTTTTTCCTATGCTAGATTTTTTTTTTTTTTTTGAAATATAATGTTTACTTACATAGAACCGCCAATAAATACATACAGTGGTCATAATTTTTCAATGATAAAACACTAATCTCGTCCATGCTAAAAAACAATCTCTGCATGTATACCGTGCATTAAAAAACACTATATTCTGCAGAAAGAATAGTTACGCGACCATTATATTAGTTATTATTGTTGTTATTTAATTATTATTGTTATTATTATTATTATCATGATTAAAAAATATTACAAGATAGAAATCCTAAATATACTGCCATTAAAATAAGTCATATTTAAACTTCGTAAAGACTTTTCAAATAAATTTTGTTGATTATTGAATCGTATTTAGAAAAACTTCATTTTACATTATAAGAAGAAATTGGTAACCATATATTGTATATTCAAATGCTATTTGAGATAAAATGGGCAAATGTTTGGCCACATTTGACCAATATTCATCTAATACAACTTCTATAAACACAGATCCAGATCCAAATAAATCGTCCATTCATCTAATAAATTATCAGATGGATTGTTTAATTCTTTAATGATCTTGTATTGCCATGTATCTCTTTGTGTTAATCAACAAATTGAATAAATTTTGGATCAAAAATTCGACATGTACGAAAAAGAGGACGTCGAGGATGAGAGGGAATATATGCTGCAAACTTAATACCTATTCATGCCATGATTCATCATGATCGCATATTTTACATGTTTCTTCATTTCATTTTCGATAATAATAATGTGTTACCTACACTATTCATTTCCCTCCCGCCTGGTTTACTCATTTGCTTTTCAAAAATAACACGAAAAAAAAATCTTGAAATTATTCTCCACCGTTTGCCAAATTCCTCCTGCCCAAATAATTCATCAAATGCTTCTTGCTGTCCAGAAGGTTCATCAAAATAATTATCCAATGTATTAAAAATTTTTTTGTACGCGTCTTCCAAATTCTTCAAATATAGTCATTTTGTTGATTTGTCGGTTTTATACATTTCAGCTATTTTATTTAATGTTTCTTCGAGGTTTGATTGATCCTGAAAATCATATGTATTGATATTAGTTTTAAATTCTATACATAAAAAAACCAAACACACTAATTTAATATTGATTATTTCGTAAAAGATAGAAGTTGTTGCTGTTCTGGTAGTTGATTGTATAATAACATTACAAAAAATTAAAAAGTCTATTTTTAAAAAGGGTTGAGACCACCATATTCAAACAATGTGATTTACTTGCAGAACTAAATGTTTCATCAAGTAAATCATTATTTTTTGATTCTATAACTTTCAAAGTTATTTTGAGCTTTTGTGATAAATATTTAATCTTCTTTATAAGTTAGTTGAGTGTACAGAAACTATTTTTCACGAAAGAGTTGTAGAATTTAAAAAATCCACATACAACGAAAATAGTAATTTTGATCGTCGTTCACAATTATAATTATGGTATTCGTGTTACCTTTTAATTCACTAGGTTACATTTTATAGAGTTGGTTTATAGTGAAGAAACCAAAAGAGCCCATAAAAAAGTTCATCGTTGAAGGTAAGCATTTTTTTTTAAATGTTATTGATGAATTTTTTATTTGTTTTTTATAGAAAAATTGTGTTTAGCAATGATTAAAGAATTTATAGTTTGGTTTTTTCACCTAAAATGAATGTGATTTTTTCATAAGGCTCAACACAAGTAGTTGTTGTGTTTATTTACATTGCCTTTGGTGAAAATCAAAGTAAAAACAAACATTTACAATATTTATGATTATAAATAACCTTTTTTTTCTGTGATACAATATGATATGACAATCATTTAATTAATTATAATGGCATTGTTAAAAAATAGGAATTACTGGCTAAATGATTTATTTAAGAATGTAATTGTCTAAATTAGACATTGTCAAAATGCGTTAATTAAGACATCCGTCCGTATATAGCGAATTCTCACTCTCTCCTGTCTTATGAATAATAAAGCAATAACATGTGATGCAAAATTAAAGTAAAACCTTATAATCATTTATTAAGTTAAATTAGAATCCATATTTTCAAAAATAATAATTATTATTCTGCTGACACTACTCAATTTTCACTAACAAAGCTCCAGCATCAACTATATCACCCTCTTTAACCAAAAATTTTATAATTCCATCATGTTTTGAAAAAATTTTTATTTCAATTTTCATTGTTTCTATGGTTAATATTGGAGTATTTTTCTTGACTTTGGAGTTTGGATTTACTAATAATCTTAATATTTTGCATGGCATTGGTGCAACATATGGCAAAACTTTTGTATATTATTTATATAAACAAAGATTTGTTAATATAAGAATATGTAGATTCATAAATATATATTGACTAATACATGTATGTGTATATATATATATATTACCATCATCTTCGATATCTTCTGCAGCAGTTTTATGTCTCTCTTTTTTAATGAATTTGATTTGCTTTGATAAGTCTTGAGAATGTACATAGACACAATTTGAATTTGAATCATTGGCAATCTCGTAAATTCTTTGAATTCCCTCTAAATATTACATGATTAACTAATCAATATAAATATTTATTTATTTATTCAATATGAATAATTAACTAATCGTTTAATTACCTATTGAACATCTTAAAGACCCGTGCAACAAACCTTTTTAATAATATTAATAATTAATAATTTATAATTAGTAAATTTAATAAAACAAATAAAAATATTACCATTGTTTTCATTGATAATGACACCATTCAACAGGACATCTTTTTTCTTAATTAATTCATCGCCACCATCTACATTAGCATCAATGCCATTTAAATATCTCGCCAGAATACAAAATTTATAATTATCATCATCAATAGAATTTAATTTTGTTCCATCAATTTTATAATTTTGACATTCATATTCTATTTCAATTAAATTATTCTTGGTGCTGTTGGTAGTAATGTTATCGTGATATACATTGTATATTTCAATTGGATTTTTATATTTCAAATATCTCCATCTAGACGGTATATGGCGTAATGTTGTTCTTTGTTTCTCTCTTAAATGCCATAACCATAAAAATGCGACTATTCCTAAATTTTTTATTGTTTCGTTTTCACCAACAACATTATTACTGATATTATTATTTGAGTATTCATTTTCTACGAAATTCGTGTTATAAAATCCTTTATTAAAATTGTTGTTTTTCATAACTTTTGTTAAAAACGATTGATTTGTTACAAGTCCTAAACATATTGTATTTCTTAATGCTAAATGCATTTTTTGTATTGCTTGTTGTCTTGTTGGTGCAAACACTGAAATTTTTGATATTAATGGATCATAATACATTGAAATCACAGATCCTTATCGTGTGTGTGTGTGTGTGTGTATTTTTAGTATTGGAATAATTTATTTATTTAAAAAAAAATTTTAAAAATATTTATTTATTTTCTTTACCTGTTTCCACACCAGTATCATATCTAACATTTGGTATTGACGCTTGTTTCCAATAAAGTAATTTGCCTGTGCTCGGTAAAAAATTTTTTGATGGATCTTCTGAATATAAACGACATTCAATTGCATGTCCCTAAAAATATAATAAATTAACATGTTAAAGAAAAAAATCATTTTTTTGTAATCCTTAAAATTCACATATCTCAGATAAAATATTTAATTACAATAGATGTTAAATTAGGTAACGGTGATGATGATAATTCGTAACCTGGCAAAGAAAATAAATGTATAAAATATAAGAATTAAAAATACAAGCAATAAATAATTTGTTATTATCAACCTACCTTGAGAAACTAATATTTGAAGTTCTACTAAATCTAATCCGGTGACTAATTCAGTGATTGGATGTTCAACTTGTAATCTTGTATTCATTTCAAGAAAATAAAATTTTTTTTCTAATTTATCCTTTGAAAATCAATCAATCGTTAAACAAAATTTTATTTTCAAGTGTTTTTGAATATGAGACTAATAATAATAATAAAAATAATAATAATAATAATAAAATATTACTATTATTGAGAAAAAAAAACTTACAACTATAAATTCAATTGTACCAACACCTTCATACTTAAGAAGCTTTCCAATTTGAATTGAAACAGATATCATTTCAGACCTTAATGTTGAATCTAAATTTGGTGAAGGTGTTTCCTTTTATATTTCAATTTTTAAAAAAAAAAAAATTTAAAATATTAAGAATATTATTTTGGAAATATTTATATTCAAATATATACAATTCATACATACCTCAATAACTTTTTGATGACGTCTTTGAATAGAACAATCTCTCTCAAAACAATGATAAATGTTTCCATACTTGTCACCAATTAATTGAATCTAATTATTATTATTATTATTATTATTATTATTATTATTATTATCATTATTATTATTATTATTATTATTTTTAAAAAATCTAAACATTAACAAATGACTAATTAATTGTAACAATAATAAGTACTTCGACATGACTGACTGAATCAAAATATTTTTCAATTAAAAGATTTTCTGATCCAAATAATCTTAATGATTCAGCTTTTGCCAATGCAATTTCTTCTCTCAATCTGTCATAATGAATTTTAAATTATTACCACTACTACTAATATTAGTATAACTAATATTACTACCAAGATTCTTTATTACAATACTTTGACTCATCACGAATAATTCTCATTCCCATTCCTCCTCCACCTGAAGAAGCTTTTAATAATATAGGAAACCCTAATATGATTTATTAAAAAAAAAAATTTTTTTTTAATGAAATTTATTATATAATACATATAAATATATTAAATTTCCCCCTCAAGAGTAAATTTTACCAATTCTTAAAGCCTCATTTATCAATACATCAATATCTTGGTTTAAACCATTATACCCTGGTATAAGTGGCACAACTGGTAAATTTTTCGAAAGTAGATTTTTTGCTCCAATCTACCAATCAACCAACCAATGAATTGATCAATCGATGAATCGATCAATCAATCAATAAATAGAACTAGAAAATTGTGTGAAGCATTCAAATTTTATTGAAAGCAACAAACTTTATCACCAATTGCCAATATAGAATCAGGTGAAGGTCCTATGAATCGAATACCTGATTGTGCTACTAATTTAGCAAAATCTGATTTTTCTGATAAAAACCCATAGCCTTTTTACAAAAATTAAAATAATATTAATAAATTAATAAATTAATAAATCACATATTATCAACATTACGAGAACCTGGGTGTATAGCATCAGCCCCAACTCTTTTAGCAGCATTAATAATTTTATCACCACATAAATAAGATTCATTTGAACCAATATAAATCGATTCATCCGCTAATTTTACAAATAATGAATCTTTATCACTACATGTTTATATTATATAATATTATTAATATTATATAAATAAATATTTATATGTATATAATTCATCAATTTATCGCTATGCTACCTTTCAGAATAAACAGCAACAGTAGAAATTCCTAAATGTCTACATGTAGAAATTATTCTGCATGCTATCTCTCCTCTATTTGCTATAAGTATTTTTTCAATTTGTTGCATTTTACGACAAAAAGAATCTAACGCTAAAATTTTTTAAGTTACACGGTTTACCATATGCTCATCCAGTCGTTGATGCAGTTTATATATTAAAAATGTACATTGTGTACATTGATGTTAAAAATTATGCTACTATCTGTGAGATTTGTCAAAGAAGAGGAAATAAAAAGGAGAGGAAGGTTTACACCCTATTATAGTTGGAGAGAACTATTTGATATAGATATAAAAGGACCTTTACCATTAACAGAAAGAAAGAGGAAATATAGATAGATGTACGGTATAATTGTAGTTCAAAATTACCAGACAAAATTGCCATAAACCAAGGCTATTCCAAATATAAAAGCAAAAACAGTTGCAGAATTCTTTCTTATACGAAGAAGTAATTTTTAGACATGAAGCAATCATGATAACTTTACTTTGGTGTTACATCTTGGAAATTATCCAATCAAATTTGAAAATTAGTCAATAATAATATATATTTTAATCTCGGGAAGTTATTAAACATTACACTAATCCATACGTCATATATTTACATTTGACATTTTATTTAATACATCAAAGAGAAGACATTTTGTGTATATATATTCAGTTAAGATTTCAATACTATCAACTTTGTTTAAGTGTACAGGGAAAATAAATGCAAGCTTACTGGCTTTGGAATAAAAGAAACTAAATGTCAATTCTTTAAGATATAACTTTGAATTTTCGTTTTAGTTTCTGATTTGTTGAATGTTATTAAGTAGGCGGTTCTAAAAATGCACTTGTCAATAATAATTATAATGTAATTGCAGTGAAGAAACGTTTTACAATACTTGGTAATGATGGACTAGCACGAATTTAGTGTGAAAATGGAACTCGTTTTAATATTGGAAATTTGTCATCTACGGTAAAGCATGGCGGGGAAAATTATGATTGTTTTACAGCTAAAGAATTGGTGAGAGAATGATTTATTGCATTCATTCAAGAAAAATTTTCTAAATCATTAAATCATTACAAATTTTATGCCTTCTCAATCTTTCACATTGCCACAACAGGAAGAATAGCATCAAATGGTATCTTACACTCGTAAGGTTCAGCCCTGCGACCGATGTTTGGATCATAGCGTTAAGTAATACACATTATGACTTGTTAGACTGAAGTGACTGTGATATAATCGTTATGACTCGCTATTATAATTGCCATTAAAGAATAGCATCTAACAATACAGTATACAGGAAGAGAGGACTCGGCCTAGGGTATTAAAAGTCACACGCAGTGAGTTATAATAATTATCCAAGATCCACTAATCCAAACGTCTGGACCATACGGATGTAAGATATTGGTATACTGGAAAAAAAGGCCTATGGCATTAAGAGTTACGGGGGTAGACTTTAAGAGCCACACTCAAATTCCTGCTATATCAGAATTATCTTTCGTATGCAACAAATTATTCATCATAACCTTGTTTTTTTTTTAAGATATGGATTTTGATCATTACATTGATGACTTTGTAAATAACACTGACCCCATGGACTGGAATCCAAAAAAATTATACAGGTTGTAATGCTTCGAACCTTCCAGCATTTCAAGTTCGTATTCTTATTTCAGATATATTTTGGATTCATCAATGGTCACTGGAGTTCCAGACTTGAATGGACACGGTGTGTCATCGATTTATACAACATTCAGCAAGTCATCCTGAATTCACAATCAAATTCGTAAGTTAGAAGTTGGTCTACCGGTTAATAATAACTTGGGATACATTATCATCACCATATAAACAACTTAATAAATAAATATTACATATTATCAAAAATTATTGATGTATATGTTTTTTTGCTTGTATTGAAAATAAATTTTTTCACTATAGGGGGTGTAAAGATTATTTTTTCCACAACAAGTTCTCTGATTCATATTTAACAAATAGTAAAAACATACACCAAGAAATTAAAAAAATGTTACTTTATTTATACATATATGTATATATATATGGACAATTTGGTCGAGATCCAATAAAATAACAATATTGTAATTACATATTGCGACTATAAATTAATCAGACATTAAGAAATTGAAGATGTATACTAGTCATATACTTATAATCTAGTCATGCATGCACTTATAATTCCATCACAACTTTGTGGAAATTGATTGGTTTTATTATTATTAGGAGAGATTCAAGTCTATACGTGTCAGATAGATTATAGATAATTGAAAATAAATACTTTTCGCGTGATCTTAGAAAATTCTTATTAAATATTTATTTATTAATCGTATCCTTACAATTCAATCGATTGAAAAAAAAAGAACGTTTAAATAATTATAATAAATAATAAAATAATATTTATATTTAGAATATAATTTAAATGAATTAAATGAAGTAATTAATTAGTTATCTTGGTCTTCTATAGAACATGGGCCACCCAAGTAAATCTCATTAGAAATAATTAAATAACCATCGTGAACATTGACAGTGACTTTACTTGCATCCTGATCGATCAACTTCAAATGTTTAGCCAAAGCAACACAACTAGTTGAGCAAGTTCCACATGCCAAGGTTAATCGATTGATACCTTGTTCAAAAGTTTATACATGTATAGTTGTATCATTGACGATTGTAACTTTATTAAGATTTATTCTCAATTGGGAATTTACTGGTATTTAAAAAATTTCCGACCTTGACTAATTCTTAAATGTGACCAAATGAGGTTCTGAGGTGTTAACATAATGCCAGCCACAACTAGATTCCCATCTTTGCTGACAAAATTCTTCATCTGATAAGCCATCATTATCATGATAATTTAGAGTGGCTCTCATTCAACTTTCCAAAATTGGCAAAAATGTGAACATAGGACAAGGTTGTTTGGTGAAAATGAACCGTGATTTACCCACTTCAACAAAGAATTCAGTGCCATGTTGAAGTAGTTCATGGAATTAATCACCACATCTGATAAAAAATTGCTTGTAACGGTCTCCGTAATGATCAAAACAATATTTTGAAACAACTCTAGCGCCGTTGCCACAGAATCCATAACCAGGTTCATAAACATATATTCTAAATATATACGAGATTTGTACTCATTGATAATGATGGTGGCAGCGATGGTTGTGATGGAAATTCTTTTTCTTGACTAAATTTTGCAAGAACAAGACAAGAATCTATTTTCTCGAAACCAATTTTTCGATGAAAATAACGAACGTACTTTTCATCGAAATCATGTTCAAATTTATCTAAATAATCAAAGATTAGAAAAGTGTTTCCAGAAATTTCAGCAAGTATTGATTTAGGATTTGTATATTTTTTTTCTTGATATTTAGTGTTGTTATACATGAATTATTATTATATTTATTATTATCAACTATTATTACTATTGCCAAAATCAGGAAAATAAATAAAATACCCCGGATTGTCGTTTTTATATATGGACATAAACCAGATTTAGTCGGGATTTTTGTGCCAACTATGTAATAGTAAAGGATATTGATATTTAACTATTATTATTATTATGAGAAAAATTTTGTATCTATAAACAATTAATTGCTTATGTATAGTAACGATTAGCCAGTTTCGATTTAAAAAAGTTGTCCGTTTTATTGTTCATTCTTCAAAAATTTATCGACTAGTTTTTTCTTAACTGAACATTGGCAGAGCTTTAGCATTTTGAAAATTCCAAATTTTGAGGTAAATTTCTTTACAATAAAAAAGTTTAACGAACATATAATTCACGAAAGTTATTATCTCAAATTTCAAAAATCTAAAAAATGAGACAAATTGTTTTTATATGAATTGAAAGCTAAACTTAATGGAGTGGTTTTTTTAAAATCCAACATGTGCATCACATAATATTTCAATTTTAACTTTCACATATTATTATGCTCTTCTATATGTGAAATTAAAGTTTAATTCGCGATTGATACGTGATAGAAGTAGATAAAAATCTATGTGTCGATCTGGACAAAAGTTTGCAAACGATGTTTTTCGTTAATTACGCAAAATCCTACATAATAAAAATACATAAAATTTTAATATTATACAGCCTAGATCCCTTGATCGATTTCACATAAAATATTTGATTTTTTTATTTCTATTACTTTTTTTTGAAAAGATCTTCAAAAGTCAAAATTGAAGAAAACCGACTAATATCTAGTGGGCCACCCATCATTAGAAATGCATGATTCAATCCTTCTTGGAATGCTTTTAATGAACTATTCCAAGTATTTTTAACCATTCTTCTTTTACTGCAACTTCCAATTCCGATTTATTTTTTAGCCCCCTTTAAAAAACTTTTTACGATCACGATTTAGATTTAGGAAAAAAAAAAAATAACGAAAGAAATAAAATCTAGATGAGTTATAATAAAGTATTGAAATCATATGTTTTATTCTTCAAAACTATAACTTTTATATGATATAATTTTAAATATTTGAAAAAAGACGAAGATATTGTAAACATTTTAAAATTTAATCAACTAATTAATTAATTATTTACTTAATATTCAGAGTCTCGCTCATAAGAATAGGGGCAAAAATTAATATCAAATTGTTTCTTTACAAATAATCCGTTCTGTAATAAACATTTTCACAACCTAATTCTTTTTCGCTTAATAAACATTTAACAAGGCTAACGGGAAGTCTAGTCGAGGTCCGGAAAGATGGACTTTATTAAACACTAGTGAGACTATTGATATACAAATCAAATAAAAAAACTGCCAACTTAATAAGAGCCCCTAAGATCAGAGTCATCAAAATATGTTTGAGATTATTAAACATTGTGGTTCAAGCAAAAATATCAACAATTCCTTACTTTAGAATTAAATAATTTATAATACATATATATAGGGCATAATTATAATGGTTCTAATTAATGTGAAAAAGCAATTGACATTTAGAAAAAAGTTGTGATTATGATTAAGAACGATTGATGAAATACTTTCGTCGTGTAACTTTAAGTATAAATTTAGAAATACCCCACACTGAATTTTTCAACAGAGAATTATAAATTTATATTATTATACAATAAAATCATGTAGTAAGGATGTACTTGCACACGTTTTACAATTAATGATGATGACAATAATGATGACAATAATGAAAGCATTATTAGATAATTTTTATTATAATATTTTTATTAAATAATGATGTAATTGTTTTTTTAATATAAACTAAAAAAAAAAGATTGCACTGCATGAAATTTACGTTTCCCATCCCTGATTTCGTCATACTTGATGAGATGTGACGAAAATCAACGAATTTGAAATTGGCTAACCAAACTTTAATAATCATTGATATTGATTAATTTTGTTTCTATCAGTATGGTGATACCACCAAAAAAAAAATGATACTGAATTCAGGGATCCCCATGTGTTTTTATATAATATTAATCCATTGATTGCTACCTTGTAGAAAAATTATAAAATAATTTGATGCATTCTCTCAGAAAATATCATAATCACGAGACCTGATTGATGCGAGTATTTAAATGGCTACCTCAAGCAATCGTTTATAAGGGTGCGGTGGTTGAAGTGATATGGACGAGGAGATCTACCAGGTGGGTTAATAAAGAACTAAATAGTATTTGTTTTTTTTTATATACCATTTACTTTCAACGAATTTCTGTCAAAAAATCAACAATTGTTTATTCATGGACTAAATCTATTTTGCTTAATTTGTTGATTATTCACACAGGTTGAATTTATTTATGCGTGTCATCTAAAGACATCAAAAAAAATCGTGCAACTTCGAATAATTAAGGCTTTTTTTTTTAAAAAAATAATAAAATAGAAAAAAAACTATTTAGTAAAGGATATTCAAATCACGTGACCTAACCAAATCAGTTCATATTTTTTGTAAGCAATCAACAAACAATACATTATCAACAAATTTACATTCTTTCAATTAAAAAAAATGCTAAGCCTAAATAAGCAAACTGCACATTTGGGAAAAGCTAGAAATGTTAAAAAAACAAAGTCAAATAACGAATTGAATAAAAATTTAGAATATACATCAAGTGAAGAAGGCTCAGATAAAGAAATCGATTATACGAATTATTTGAATTACTCATTTTGTTTGTTTATTCGTTTATTTGAATTATTCGTTTATTTGAATTATTCATTTTGTTTGTTTTATTCATTTATTCGAATTATTCAATTCATTTTATTCGTTTATTTGAATTATATATTTGTTTTATTCATTTATTTGAGTAAAAGTTTATTTGAATAAACTTTCAATGTAATTCGAATACTCAAATTCATAACGAATATGATAAATGATTAAGTCATGTGATTTTATAATCCCGTGACACCAAGTAATCATTGCTATTTGGATGGGATTTTGAAGATTTTATTTAGATGGCGCACACTATAATTATCCATCAATCTAATTTTTATCTAGCACAGTAATAATTGAATTAACATAAAAAAATTTAGTAAATTTTATAAAATTTTTTAACTATTGAAAAGCTCGTGAATTCATTATTTTTGGGGTTGAAGACTTATTCACGGGCTGCTTATTTACGGAAGTATGCGGTATATGGTTTTACACTCTTTAAAACGAATACACAGATTTTTCTTCAATTGTTGTATAAAATAGTAATGATTGTCATCATACGATGAAGGATACAAAGCAAGATGGACAATGATAATTGAGGAGTGAGGGAGAAAAAATAAACCCCCTTATATTTATGAAACGACTATATACTTCAAAGTATCTATCATCAATTACATAAAGTTACGTCACCATATCACAAGATTTTACATGTTTGTACTTTGTTCTCATGGTTTTTGCTTTGTTCTAACCCAATGTATACCTAATACATTAATATAAATTGCCAGATCAAACTTGATAATTGATCAATATAACCCTTATATTTGTGGTAAATTAACAAAAAAATTACAACAACTTCAAAGTATCTATCATCAATCACATAAAGTTAGTTCACCACATCACAAGATTTTACATGTTTGTACTTTATTCTCATGGTTTTTGCTTTGTTCTAACCCAATATACACCTAATACATTAATATCAATTGCCAGATCAAACTTGATAATTGATCAATATAACCCTTATATTTGTGGTAAATTAACAAAAAAATTACAACAAC